TTCCTTGAGATATAAAAAATTAAAGTTTATTCGCTGGCTATTACCTTGGCTTAAACGCATAAAGTAATACTCTAAGATAGATCAATAATCGAGGGACAGAAGCACAATATATTGGATTTAGCAGTTGAATTTGAACTGATTGTACTTAGCAGCTTTACTCATCAAACAATTTTTGACAATTATATTTTTATATTGACGTATTTTTTTGCTTGCCAACTGCGGAATCGCCTACTCCTTCGAACTGCATCAAAAGGTCAATTTTGCCAAATAACGGATTTAGCAGGTTTACACTCTAAGCCGACGATATGTAAAGTCAAAACTTTAAAGCCATTTTTCTCGAGTGTTGATTTTTTGAGTATTGGCATTATTGAAGTAAATGAGCGGACATGTACATATATATGTACCCTACCGGCCAAACCCGATCTTAGGACAAACTATTTTTGTAACTCTCATCTGTCCAACACAAGCTACGCAGTCTGCAAGATTGTTGTATCCAATTTGGTTTCGGTTAGACAGATATATCGCATTAGGTAGAACTAGTTTAGCCTGGGGCAAAACTAGTTTGACCTAAGGTCGGATTTTACCGGTAACATACATATACAGACATATATACATTGGCACATGTAACTTACCTAGTCTTTATTTGACCTGCCACAAAAAATGCTAATGAAAACAATTTTCCAGCAAAATTGTGTAGACAGCGGATTTTGCTCTTGTAACAAAATGTTATTTGAGATAGTGGATTTTTCAAAATGAGAATATAATCCCATTAAAGCTAAATTTTAAGTTTAACATTATTGTCATGGCTAAAAGATAAATAAGAGCTCACGTTACCATCAAAAACTAATTTTCATCAAAATTGCAGACAGAGGGTATTGAACATACATAAGCCCTCGATATTCAATAAATGCTTACATAAAAAACCAATACACCAGCAAGCTTTCAGCGTCAAATGATTTCAGGGTAAAATTGTCAAAACTCCCAATAAACTTAAACGAACGAAATCATCAAAACAATTTCAGTCCTCAAATAAAAGCTAAAGGAGCATAAAGTTTGCATTGTGTTTTCTTGTTTTCGTAGACATTTGAAGAGCAGTGGTGCCGCGAAATTTTTTTCCACAGCAAGGCTGCCGCGGTGAAAAAAGTTTGGGAACCTCTGCTTTAATTGATAGTCATTATGAATATTAATCATTATTTAACAGGTCTGGTATAATTGATAACGTACTCGATTTAATGGTTTACAATATACCCAAATAAAAGTTATATTTTGTGCACTTTATTGTATTAAACTGTCCAAGTCAATAAAACAGGGCATGAATAAATTGTTTTGTACTTGGTACAAGTCTGGTCATTTTCGAACCAGTTCGGTTTCTGTTAAGAAATTCTAGTTGTAACTAATATTTTTCCTGACTAGTTTGGGGTTTCACTGCAGGGCATATATGCATGTGCGTATGTTGAAAGAGAATACAAATAAATTCTGATAAAATACAATATTAATGTATCAGAATTTCGTTGAATTATTGATGTGTATACATCTTTGGTTTCGGTAGGGGTAAAATTTGCGAAGATGTAACGATGCTAGACAGAGACGAACACATAGGGCCCTATGCATTAAACAAGTTAAAAATTGGCGACGAGAAATAATTAATAATAATAATAGATTGGCGCTTACACATATGTTTGTGTTTGGCCGAGCTTCTCCTCCGATTTTTGGCGTGCGCCTTGATGTTGTCACACAAAGCGGAGGGGCCTTCAGTTTTACGCCGACCCCGAACGGCGATTGTATTTTTATGAGAAGCTGTTTTTCATGGCAGAAATATACTCCGAGGTTTGCCATTGCCTGTCGAGGGACGACCGCTGTTAAGAAAAAACCTTTTTCTATATTTTTTACGATGTTGCTTTGACCAGGGCTTGAACCCAGGCGTTGCGGAGTGCTGCTTACCACTACACCACAGCGGCCGACGAGAAATAATTGCTTTAAAAAAAAATTCTTCAACAAATAAAAGCTAATTTTTCTATTCTTTATTATTATTATTATTTATTATTCTTCTTCGTTTTAACTGCTCAACTATAAAGCAAAATGGAAAACAGTAACGGAAGAGTGGCAAAAAACAAAAGTTTATGCTTACATTATATTGTGAGAAGCTTTATTGAAAAAAGACAAATATACACTGCCGGAACAAAGTATTGGAACAGCAAATTTTTCACAATATATGCAACAATTTTTATTCTAATATTTTTCTGCCAATTTTGTATAAAAATATGGTTCATTCAACAAAAAAAAAAACATTAAAATATAATTCCTAAACTTTGTGCAAAACTCGCGAAAATTCAGCAAATTTTCATCAAAATTTTCAACTTTGTAATCAGATTTTTTAGAATTTTTTTGAGTATGCTGTTTTGCAGCCCATTAAATTCTACACCTTTTCAAGTTCAAAATGAGAAAATATGAGATTGTAATTGGAAAATGTAAGACTATATTGAGAAACTGTAATTTTTAATGGGAATGCGTAAATTGAAATTGAGAAATGTAAGTTTAAAATGAGAAAATGTAAGTCAAAATGGGAAAGTGTAAAATTATTTGGTTGGCTGGGTAGGAAGACTCATTGAGCGTTGGCAAAACATGGGGAATAATACGCGGGATTTGGAAATCGTCTGCGACAATGCCCAATGTCACTCTTCGATAGAAAGGAAAGTGGCGGACAATTCGGGAGGAGAAGCCACTGTTTTGCGTCTAGGTCCTTATTCCCTAATGTTAAATCCAATAGAGAACATTTGGGCTAAAGTTAAAATGGAAGTAAAAGCGAACCTGCGTGTGCCAAATGTTCATCCCTCCGGACTTTGCGAACAGAGATTACAGTATTTGGAAACAGTTATAGATAACGCGAAAATAACAATAACTGGAGGAGATTTCGCAAGGGCTGTACAGCACTCAACTAATTTTCATACAGACGCACTTGTATTAAATAATATGCATGTTGGGGTGTAATGTTCCTTGGTCACATCTTTGTTTACTTACGTTGATAAATGTTGTGTTTAATAAAATTTGATTTTCAGTACCCTACAAAATCGCATTTCAAATTTATATTATCTCATTTTGAATCTATTTTTTTCTCATTTTGAATTTACTTTTGCTTATTTTGAATTTTCACATTCTCAATATGAATTTACATTTCTGAATATCAAGTTATAAATTCCCAATTCAATTTTACGCTTTCTCATTTGGATTTATATTTTCTCATTTTAAACTTACACTGCTCAATTTCAATTAGCTCATTTCAATTTACTTTTTTTCAATATAATTTTACATTGGGTAGGTTCAGAAGGTGCAGAAGTTGAGCGCAACCGTTGCTAAAAAATCAATGATCGGAATGCGTCTTCTGAACGGCTTGATACATTAGCTGTCAAATTCAAAACACACAACACGTTGTCTCAAATGATCCGAAAAATATTACGATCATCTAACACGCAACTGTTGAGTTGATCAGAAGTACAAAACAACGCGTTCAGAAGGTGCAATCGCAACAGTTACTGAGCTGTTGCGCCTTCTGAACGTGCCCATTTTCTCATTACGAACTTGAAAAGGTGTAGTAAAAAAATTCAAGTTCGGAGTTGGTCAAATATCGCGTTGATTTTTGAGAATTTGTTTTGTTGAAGGTGTTTTGCATTTTTTCCATATAAAGTATTTTCGAAAAAAATTTGTTGTATGGAAGAGACTGCATGAAAAAAAATTCTAAAAATCAACGGTAATTCCTAGCTACTTAAAACTTGTACTGATTAAATTGATTGGGCTACAAATCTGCATACTAAAAAAAAATCTAAAAAATCTGATTAGAAAGTTGAAAATTTGCTCAATTTACACAAAGTTTAGGAATTATATTTTTATGTGTTTTGTTGTAGAATGAACCATATTTTTATACGAAATTTGCGGAAAAATATTAGACTGAAAATTGTTGCATATATTGTGAAAAATTTGCTGTGCCAATACTTTGTTCCGGCAGTCTATATGGTTTCTTAAATCGGTTTACTATAGCTTTATTGAAATTTAAAAAGAAAAAATATTTAATACACGTTGTCTGGTAGATACGCTTTAAGCAGAGATTCCTATCACACTGTCTTCCAAAAACACTTTATTTTCACTTAAGGTTTCAGTACTCCCAAATTGTCCATCGAATTATTTATAATAAAATTGCTAATGCTGCTTTGTAACACACTTACTAAAAAGTCTTACCCATTGACCTCTGTTAACTTCCTGAAAGGAATACGGATTTTCTTGAAACTAATTTGATACAAAGAATATACATACGTATATACAAAGCTCTATTCACTTTGATCAAAAAATCCCGAAAAATACTCGCAAAACTTTTGTAAGTCGCCTCGCTGTCCTATAATATTGATACGGATCTCCTCAAAGGCATTTAGCCATAGTAATATTTTCTTTTCATATGTACTTACATCCAATAATTTAAATGCTCTAGTTGTAAGGTAAATTAAGCATGCCATATCCTCTTAAATTGTAAACGTTGATATATAAAATAAAATATTAATAATAATAATAATTTAGCTTTACTTGAGTTTCATTTTCGCCCGAAATCGTTCACTTTTACGGATAAGGTAAATTGTTACAATTGTCTTTTCTAAGCCTAAACAGTTCCACAAACCTCTCTTCCGAAATGCTGTAACTATCCGTAGATTATCTCATGGATGTGGGCTTTTTGCGAAGACTGGTCCTTAATCTTCCTTGCGAATATTACATATTTATATTTCCATTATTTATCACCATTGAAATGGAAACAAGTTTTGACAGCGGATTTGGCTGCACAGCGTCACTTGCGGCCGGGTAAAGTTTTAAATTTTTAGCGACAGGGAGGACAGAATCGCAATTTTTGGAGATCGCCAAATATTGGGATAAAGTTTTAGCTTTAACAGGTGTTGCTCGGACAGTAAAGTGAGTGGTAACACGTATGTATGTATGTACAAATATATGTCTGCTTAGCTTACCTCAATTGTTTGTCAATATTTTCCAATACACAAATAAACACTTGTGACATCTCACGATCGATACGAGAACTGGACTTTTTGTTAAATCTTTGCTTCCAGTATTTAATTTCGTCTTTTACTGATGTTATACCTATGAAAATAAAGCAAATGAATCGGTTAATAGCCATAGAGAATAAGTCAGCATTTTAACCAAATAGCAATTAAGTTTATAGTTTATAGTGATTAGTATATAGTGATTAATTACATAATAATTACCATACGTTCCGTTTAAGTCGGGGCTGCCCCGTTTTTGGCCTTCGTCCTGTTGTCCCTGAATATTACACCGTGCGACAGTCAATTTTACACACGAAAAAATCAATATATTCACAAAACTGGGGGCAAATATAGTAAAACTGCGCTTTTAGTTTTTCTCTCTGAAGTCAGGATTTTTTTTAAAAGGGCTTTAAAATTTGTAGAATATGATTGAATAAAAATATTATTCAAAAGATTCGGTGCATTGTAGAATAACAATATGGGTATCAATTAAAAGGAAAAATTCTGTAGAATAGAAAAAAATTTAATTTTAAAATATTTATTTTTGAAAAAATATATGTCAAGGACTAATATGTTAACTACCACATCCTCGAATTTCGTCCTTCTAACTTTATTAGTTTTAGATTAAAAAAATTTTGCACTTCTCTTAATAAGATATTGATAATTACAATATACATAGATGAAGCTACTGGAAACGTATGATGTACGGTTTAAGTACTTTAATTGTTTTGTATACAAGGGCGTAGCCAGCCTTTAATTTAGGGGGGGGGGTGTTTTCGGGGAAGGAGTTTATATAGAGGGGAAAAATCCTTACTAATATTATACATCTGAAATTGGGTTTGTTTGTTTGCTACGCTTTCACGCTTTAACTACTCAACCGATCATCATGAAATTTTGCACGCTTTGTGTGTCGATCCTGTTCTCGCGGGTCTTTTCCAAGATTTGGCGTATTGTAAATACCTGATCTATGGTGGATTTTCCAGGCCTAAAGCCACACTGATAAGGTCCAATCAGCTCTTTGACGGTGGGCTTCAGTCTTTCGCACAATACACTCGATAAGACCTTATAACCTGTGCTTAGAAGGCTGATTCCGCGGTAGTTGGCGCGTATGGCGGGGTCGCCCTTCTTGTGGATTGGGCAGAGCACACTTAAATTCGAGTCGTCGGGCATGCGTTCATCTGACTATATTCTGCATACGAGCTGATGCATGTATCTCACCTCGCCGCCGTACTTGAATAGCTCGGCTGGCAGGCCGTCAGCTCCAGCAGCTTTGTTGTTTTTCAGCCGCGTAATCGCTATTCGTACCTCGTCATAGTCAGGCGGTGGGACAGCTACTCCATCATCATCGACTGGGGACTCGGGTTCGTCTTCCTCACTACTTTCAGCGCTGCTACCATTCAGTAGGTTATAAAAGTGTTCCCTCCACAATTTAAGTATATTCTGGACATCGGTCACTAGGTCGCCATTGTTGTTCTTACAGGAGTTCGCCCCGGTCTTGAAACCTTCCGTAAGTCGCCTAACCCTCTGGTAGAATTTTCGGGCGTTCTTCCTGTCGGCCAGCATCTCAAGCTCTTCGCACTCACGTAATTCGGCCTCTCTGTTCTTATTGCGGCAATTACGTCTCGCTTGCTTCTTCAGTTCCCTATAACGGTCCCACATGGCTCCCGTTGCGCCCGATCGCAGCGTGGCCCTGTAGGCGGCATCTTTTTTATCTGCGGCTTCTTGACATTCCTCAACGTACCAGTTGTTCTTTCGGGCTCGCTGAAATCCAACTACTTCTTCGGCGGCGGTACTTAATGATCGGGAAATGTAGTTTCACTGCTCGCGTATGTCGGATTGTTGAAGAGTGCTCTCAGAAAGCAGGTGTGTGAGTCGAGTGGCGAATAAATTGGCCGTCTGTTGTGATTGCAGCTTTTCGACGTTAAGCTTTCCTTGCATTGTTGGCCGCACATTTTTTGCTGCACATAGGCGGGTGCTTATCTTGGCTACAACAAGATAGTAGTCCGAGTCGATGTTTGGCCCTCGCAGTGAACCTACGTCTAAAACGCTTGAAGCATGCGTTCCGTCTATCACAACATGATCGATTTGGTTTCTCGTTTTTCGATCTGGAGACAGCCATGTAGCTTGGTGGATGTTCTTATGCTGGAACCTAGTACTACATATTACCATATTTCGGGCCCCGGCGAAGTCGATCAGCCTCAGTCCGTTATCGGACGTTTCGTCGTGGAGGCTGAATTTTCCGACAGTGGCGCCAAAGATCCCTTCCTTGCCCACCTTGGCATTAAAATCGCCAAGCACGATTTTGACATCGTGTCGGGGGCAGCGCTCATATGTACGTTCCAAGCGCTCATAGAAGAGATCCTTGGACGCCTCATCCTTCTCTTCCGTCTGGGCATGAGCGCAGTTGAGCAAGATGTTGAAGAATCTAGCTTTGATGCGGATTGTAGCTAGACGTTCGTCCACCGGGGTGAACGCCAGTACTCGGCGACGGAGTCTCTCTCCTACCACGAATCCAACACCGAATTTGCGCTCCTTAACGTGGCAACTCTAGTAGACGTCGCAAGGCTTCACGATTACTTTTCCTTGCCCCATCCATCGCATTTCTTGGATGGCGGTGATGTCAGCCTTTGTCTTCCCGAGGACATCAACCAGCCGGGCAGAGGCACCTTCCCCATTAAGGGTCCGGATATTCCAGGTGCATACCCTTAAATCATAGTCCTTTATACGTTTGCGGTGGTCGTCATCAGAAAAAGGGGGTCTTATCCGAGGCTTTTTAGATTTTTTCATTGGGCGGGGTTTTAACGTGGCAAAACCCAAACCCAGCGCACGCGAAGTTTTACGCCTTCTCACTTTAGCTCGCTCCCAAACGGGTGTTTGGTTGCTACCCAGAGGATACGTGGATATAAATATCCGGACGTTGTGAGCTGCGATTTGAACCGTACGCACAAGAATCGCTTCTGGCCACTCCCAGGTGGTGGCAGTACAAAGTTTTCCACTTCTGCGCACTGTACCATCCTCCCAATGGAGCTTTGTATGGAGATATATTAAATCACTTCCATACTCATGGAGGAGGTCTGCCACCTGTTTAAAAAATCAAATTCAACTTGAAGTAAGGGAATCATTTATTTGAAAAGTATATTAAAAAAATTGATGCCAAGAGGCTTAAAAAAGTTGTTGTGTGAAAATATTTTTGAAAGGGTTGCCACCTATTTGAAAAGTCAAATTGAAATTTATTATTCGCAAGCTATCTGAAAAATTAAAATATGGGTGTCATATGAAAAATTATTACGAAAGCTGTAGATTGAACATTTACAAAAGTATAAAGGTGTTTTACAATGGTTGCCACCCGTTTAAAAATTAAAATTAATTATCAATTAATTTAATTAAACTACTAAAATATGGGTACCAATCCAAATGTTTTTGAAAAGGGTTTTAGTTCTTAGCTAATGTAGGAAGGTTTCCACCTGTTAAAAAAATCAAAAGTTACTTGAGTTAAGAGAATCAGGTAATCGGAATATGTTCACAATATCGGTGTCGGACGAAAGGGGCTTAATCAGGGCTACCACTAAATCTGTCGTAGGCCGAAATTTCGCGAAATCTACGAAAATGTTATGACTAAATCTGAGTAGATATGAACAAAGCATACACTATGAATGATTTTAAGTGATTCAGTGATCGTATTTTCATAGATTTTACGAAAATCGGACTACAATGGTTTCAGTGATAACCCAGAATAAGGCTTTCGTTGGAAAATATTTTGAAGTGGGTTGCCACCAGTTTTAAAAGTCGAATTTAAATTAATTATACTCAAGTTAATGTGTCTAAAGTAAGAGTGTTTTGAAATGTTCAGCATGAACATGCAGAATTTTCTGAGGTTTTTGAAGAGGGTTGCTGTTTTAAAACTAAATTCAAATACAATTATATTATAAGTTAAATGAGTTATAACGATATTAATCGAAAGAGTCTCGAAAAGGCTTTATTTCTAAGATACATATGTATAGCACGGTTTCCACATGTTTAAAAATTCAAATTTAACTTGAAATGTTAGACGAAAGAGGTTTATAAAGTTTGTCAACTGTTTAAAAATTTAAATTCAATTTATTCAACAATTTCAATGAATTATTACAATAAGGTAATCAATCGAAATGGTTTTGAAAGGGCTTCATTTCTAAACAACATGTAAGTAAGAAAAAGTATCACAAGAGAGGTTTAAGAAAGTCTTAGATTGAAAATATTTTGAAGATGGTTAAACAAATTTTAAATCGTCTGTCTTTGGCATAGTTTAAGTATGTTGAGTCTTATTGAAAAAACACATAATGTAGCACGCAGAAATTTTGTGCACTCAGCAAAGCGAGGGAGGGCGATCTAGTGTTTTAATAAATTTTTTTTCTGTGTATATAAAACGAAATTTTTGGGTTTAAGAAAGTATAAATTTTCTGGTACCCTTTACAACGATACCAATTTTTTAAAAATCGGTTTGTAATTTTTTTGTTTAAAATATTTTATTTATAAAAAAAAGGTATTTTTTGATTTTAAGTGTTTTTTCTAAAATTTTTATATACGAAGTATACAAATATGCATACCAAAAGAAAAGGGGTTTAATCGCCTTTACAACATACTTATTTTTAAAAAATCGCTTTGTAATTATTTTTTTTGAATATTTTTTTATAAAAAAAGTTATTTTTTAATTTTAAATGTTTTTTTCAAATTTTTATATACGAAGTATACAAATACACTTATCAGAAAAAAAGGTTTGGTTGCGTTTACAACGATATCAATTTTTTAAAAATCGGTTAGTAATTTTTTTGGTTTAAAATAGCTTTTTTTATAAAAAAAAAAGTTTTTTTTCCCCTAAAATGTTTTTTCTAAAATTTTTACATACGAAGTATAAAAATATGCTTATCAGAAGAAAGGATACCAATCAGTTAAAAAACATTCCAAAATCGTTTGAAATATAAGGTTTATAATTTTTCGAATACGCGACCTTATAGCACTTGTAATATAAGTTTGCACAAAATAAGGTTAAATACCATTTAAATAAGAGCAACAGGCGGTCTACGTCTATATTTTTAGTTTTTTAGTTATTTACATATAATC